GCTATTTTTAAGGTCGGAGAAGCTACTGAAACAGCTCTGGTTGTTCTTGCTGAGAAGATGAATGTTTACGGCACACCAAAGTCTGGATTGTCAGCCCGTGACCTTGGTAATGTCTGTAACCGTGTTATTCAGCAGAAATGGAAGAAGGTAAGCATTTTCTGCCCTTTCTCTTCCCATTATTCACTTAAATAGTATAAATAATATAAATTGTACTGCAGGAGTTCACTCTGGAGTTCTCCCGTGATCGCAAATCGATGTCGTCATACTGTATTCCGGCGACAGGTGGATCAGGTGCTAAGATGTTCGTAAAAGGCGCCCCAGAAGGAGTCCTTGGCAGATGCACTCATGTACGAGTGAACAACCAAAAAGTACCGCTCACGCCTGCAATGACACAAAAGATTGTCGAAAAATGCGTGCAGTACGGTACTGGACGAGACACTCTCCGTTGCCTCGCTCTGGGAACTATTGATAACCCGGTCACACCGAGTCAAATGAATCTCGAAGAGGCGTCACAGTTCATCAAGTACGAGCGCGACATAACTTTTGTCGGTGTTGTTGGTATGCTGGATCCTCCACGTACTGAGGTATGGCATGCTCACATCCACTGTTTCGTTTGCACCTTTAAGTTGAGCTAATTCAGGTAATGAACTCGATCAAGGGAATGTAATCATGCTGGTATTCGTGTGATAATGATCACTGGTGACAACAAGAATACAGCAGAAGCCATTGGAAGACGCATCGGTCTTTTCACTGAGGACGAAGACACCACTGGTCTTGTTAGTTTCAGAGTTGCTTTAATCATTTCAATTACTGAGATTAATGTCTTCTTTTTGCAGTCATTCACTGGAAGAGAATTCGACGATCTCCCACCTGAGCAGCAATCAGACGCTTGCCGACGAGCAAAACTTTTCGCTCGAGTAGAACCTGCCCATAAATCGAAAATTGTCGATATTCTGCAAAGTCACGGAGAGGTAAGGGTGATTTCGAGGTGGCGATGTTTTCTATGGCTCAGCAATTGGATCATCGTCTCAGAGGATTTTCAGGAACTTTCTTTTTAGAACTTCTTGAAAGTATCGCTGACTTTATTCATGGCAGAGTAGCATAAGCCGCGTTCATACGTTGCGATCCAAGTCATTTAACCGCGCGGCAGCAGTCGAGCGCGCTCCACCGCAATTCGCCAGGTGGTTGTGAAGGTTGCCAGCGACACTCTCTTGGGTGAGGTTTGAATGGCTGCGGGTTCGGTCGAACAATTAGCAGGGAGCGCAAATGTGCAACTTCCGAGTCGCG